GAGTGCCTGGAACCACAGAAATACTAAAAAATGTTAGATATTATTTATGTTTTTAATAAATAACAGTAAGCTTGTGGTCTGAGCAGACCTTTCTTCTATCCCCATGCCCTTCCTGACTGTAAGACAGAAAAGTGAGTCCTAATGTAACATGGCTCCTCTTTTGCATCCATTTAGACTAGAGCAAACTGCCCGATGTTTTTCATGAGAGACTAAGAATCATACCAATTCTGAAGCCTTGTGAGAAAGATAAAAATGTGTACTGTTATATATAGTTAAATGTTGTTTCTTTTAAAATATTACATACCCTAAAGGAGTGGATAAAAACTTATAATAACAATTTTATTGTATTTTATTGATTTTAAGACAAACATATTTTAACATTTCTGAAACTGGGATTGGGACCACAGAGATTTCACATTCCCTGCATATAAACCAGGAATTATACTATCTATGTCCTAGGGGTGTTTACAAGATGTGTGAGATGATGTGATAATGAGAGTGAACACATCTGTCACATTTCTTGGTGGGACATAGTGTCTGGTTTCATTAATATCCACTTTCTTCATTATCCCCCTTACTCCAACAAAATGTTCTTTAACCCAAAACTCATGAAGACATCCAAAGTATCTTAAATTCCCTACTTAGCAAGTTGGATTCTAGGTCCAGGTCAAGCAGTACCACTCTACAGAAGTCTCTCTGATGACCCAGGTAGGAATTAATGTGCCCCTTCATCTGTGTCATGGGCTCACATGAACACCACTGATACACTACACTACACTGTGTTACACGTGTTATTGCAATAGCATGAGGTAATATAACCTCTCATTTTTGCATCTATCTTCCCTAATGGAATATATCAGGGTACCGAATATTTAATAGTTGTTTAATTTTTATTGGAGAAAAAAGCAATAAAAAATGTTCCAATATTTTATGAACTATTACTAATCTGTTAACCATAAACAGAATTTGACCTAAATGTTAGTAGGGTGGCAGGGAAATGGATTTATCCTGTTCTTAATACAAATTTAATACCCTCCTGGCTGAAGTAATTATTATACATTCTAAAAAAGCAAGGTTCAAATTTATAAGATATTATTCTATTTCAACAAGAATTGCTTATACAAGTAAATATTTCAGCCACAATTATGCCTTATGCTAAAATTACACTGAATATATCTATAACAAGAAATTATGAGTATTTCTGGTAAATTGATACATTGAATAGATGTCCACATGTCTAATTAATGAAATTTAAAGAGCTCTGCACCTTGGGTGTCTCAAGAAAAAAAATCTGTTCACGAAGTATTTATAGATGATTAGGCACTTGCTAGCTTATTTTGCTCATTTTATTGCTTTTGATCTATAATGGCAAGAGCATATCCTTAAAAGTAACACAAAGGGTTAGTAATCAGATTTCAGACTGACTTCTAACTGGTCAATGTGTGCGTGCATGCTAAGTTGCTTCAGTGTGTCCAACTCTTTGTGACCCTATGGACTGTAGCCTACCAGGATCCTCTGGCCATGGGATTCTCCAGGCAAGAAAGCTGGCCAATAGGTGTAAGGGAATGTGTTTTATAACATTAAATATCAGGAAATGCAAATTAAAAACCAAAAATGAGATACCATTTCAGACAGATGAGAATGGATAAAATTTTAAAAGACTGGTTACATACCAAATTTAAGAGAAGATGAAAAGTAACTAGAATTTTTATGCATTAAAGAAGACAATGTTAAAGAATATAATCACTTTTAGAACTATCTGGTAGTTTCCGGTAGACTTAAACCAACACTTATACTAAGGTCCAGCAATTACATTCCTAAGTATTTATGCAGGAGAAATTAAGATATATTTCTTCAAACTAACTCATATAAGAATTTCTGTGCAGCCTTATTAATAATGGCCAAAAGGTGGGAAAATATCCATCAGGAGGAGAAAGTATATACAAATTACAGTATATTGAAACAGTGGGGCACTAAACAACAATAAAAAATGAACCACTCTTAATACGAATCTTAAAACATGATGAGCAAGGAAGGCAGACACAAAAGAGTAAGTGCTCTCTGATTCCATTCATATGAAGTTCAAAGCAAGACTAACTTATGATAACATAAATCTGAAAAGTTGTTGCCTGTGAAGCATGGGAATTGGCTTGAAAGTGACATAACGAAACCTTTGGGGTGATGGAAATGTCTCTATCTTACTTGGGAGAGTATGTATGTTCATTTTTTTGTATGTGTTTCGTTGCTTATTCATGTCTGACTCGTTGCAGCCCCATAGACTGTAGCCTGCCAGGTTCCTCTGCCCATGGAATTTTCCGGGCGAGAATACTGGAGCAGGTTGCCATTTCCTTCTCCAGGGGATCTTCCCACCCAAGGATTGAACATGTGTCTCCTGCATCTCCTGCAGTGCAGGCAGATTCTATACCACTGTACCACTAGCGCCACCTGGGAAGTCCAAATTATAAACCTGAGATCTATGTATTTTACTGCTTACAAATCTCATTCCAGGAAAAAATACAGCAAGTACTTTGATGATGGAAATTACGCTTGAGAGGCAATTTCCTGGAATGGTGAAAACCTGTTTAATTGATTTTAGTATGAAAATTAGCATTTTTTTAGTTGCCCCAGTTAGAGGGTTCAATGTTGAAAAAGGCAGTTGGGCTGTGTACTCAAAGACATAAATGTGTAAACAGAAAGACATCCTGTTTAGGGAAGAAAAGGTTCTTTGACAGCCAGTCTCATCACAAAGGCCAGACCTCGATTCTCATGACTGCTTGGAAATCTAGCAGACACAGAATGCCTCCTTGACTGAAGACAGACTGAAGTTATCCACAGGTTTAATGTCACCCAATTGGAACAACTACAATAAGTACTGAGAGAGAGATTTACTTCAGCGCTGTATGTTCACGGCACATCTTGTGGATGTGAGAATGTCTTCTTTCCAAAGGTCATATCTCCTCCTGTGCTCCTAATTGCATCATCTCTCACCACCTCTAGAATCATGCTGCAGCAATTATCTCTTCCCTGGCTTCTATCTTAATTCTCTTTCTCTCTACTGGGTTTGTTCAACCTAAGCAATAAGCATGTTTATATCCTACCCGATTGTAAATAAAAAACAAACAAAAGAGGCTTCAGCTTCCCTTCAGTGCTGTGTTGTTACCTCCTCAGGCTACTGCACCTTTCACCTAACTCAGAGGAGTCCTGGTCTTTACTTCCTCATGAGCCAGTCATCTTCAACCTCTTGCTGCCCCAATTTCAGCCTCAGAACTCTACTAAAATTCCTCTTTAATTGGGCACATTTGTACCAAACCTTAATATTCCCTAACCTATCTGCTGCATCTGAAACCAATAACCACTCAGCCTTTCTTTACATCATTTTCTACACCTCCATGACAATACAGCCTCTCCTCTGGACGTGGTTATTTTGGCCAGAGTGGTTACATGATGGATACTTGGCCAATTAATTTTTATATCTTGGGAACTGAGAGTTGGAACATGGAGATTTTGTCAGATCCTTTCAGGCATTTCAACAAGAAAGTGACAATGTTGTGACCTGAGAAATCAACTTTTGATCTTTGGAAAAACTGAGAAGTGAAAACATATTTTCAGAAAGAGAAAAGCTGAACACAGGGTGTCAAAAGCAGAAATAAGAGACCACAGGGCCACAGAAGAAGCAGATTCTGTGTTTCTGATTATTCTCTAGGCCTGGGTCTAAGGCCACAGTGAGTTTTGTCTAAGGGATGATGAGACATCAGCATAGGTAAATGTCTGTGTTCTTCCTTACAAAGAGGCCCTAACAAGGTCCTTTGCTGGCCTCTCACCCTCTTTTCTGACTTCTTTTATTCCCTTTTCTCTAACTTTATCTAACCAAATCAACACGTCTGCAAATAGCTTCTCATCTTTGCATTAATTCCTATTTGTTAATTCTATTCAGTTTGGTCTGAATAACTATTAACATCTCCCATTCAGTATTTGAATTCAGTAGTCGATATATTCAAGTTTATCTTCATTCATGAAATACAAAGTTCTCTAAATTTCTCATACAATACTAATTAGCAAAACCAACATTCTCTTAGGTATATGGACTAGAACTCTAGGTTCATCTTTAACCCTCTATTAAATTGCTCCAAACTTCTACCTGGTTCTAAATTTTATGGTCCTAAACTTGACTATTTCTCTCATTTGCCAGACCGCCTTTCACTCCAGGACTTACTGCCTTGGTTCAGGCCCTCATTCATGTTCACTTAAGATCAATACCTTTTTTAGAAAACAAAAATCCACAAAAAATTAAATATTTCCATGGAGGTAGTAAAATTTCCCCTCACTGTACTCTACACATTAAAGAACATACATAAACATGTTTGTGTAATCCTCACCACAGACTTTTACACTTAACTACTGGTAAGACTTCTCAGCTGTTCTTCTCACCTCACTGATTATACATAACTCTAGATGTGTCCTTATTCTGTAGTAAAACTGAGAATTTTAAATTTTAATGAATGCTGTCCAATGTGCCAACAGACCAAAACTTAGATGCTTACATAAGTAATATCCTCCCTCCCTTCCCCTTTGAGAGTGTTAGGTCCAGTGCAATTCTCCTCATTCAGTGGAACTTCATTTGATTTTAACTCTTGGGTGAGAGTCAATTATTTACGCTTTAGAGCATGGAAGCAAAATGGGTATGGCACTTTAAAGTTAAAATTAGTGTCTCATAAATAGAGCTGAAATTTCATCCTTTTCCTATATCACAGGGTACTTTTAAAGTAAATCTATAAAGAAATTATTTTAAACTACCTAAGAGCAAGACATCTTTCAACTTTTTAGGCAAAAATAGACCGCATTCCATATAATTGGCAATACATGCTCCCAATAAAGAATTTAACATAACAAGTTCAGTTCTTTAAAAGTTTCTTATATTTTGTATTATGGAATAGTAAATTATACATGGAAAGTCTCTTTAGTTTAAAACTAAAACATGCTTAGCATCAGCCAACTCTTACCTCAAACAAAGAGCATCTGGGAATAATCATCGCCCAAGAAGCAGTTGGTAGCTTGAACTATGGCAAGCCTAGGTGCTGATGTAATTGAAATAAGAAAATAGGAAGAAATTACAAAGGAAATACAAAAATTCTTTTTTATCTCAAATAACCACAGACATAACAATATACAATGTCTCTCCAAATTCAAGTTTTCAAAAGTCCTGCTAACAAATGAGGGTAAGCCTTCCTCCCTCCCATAAAATTATACCAAGATTCAGTCTCTGGTTGTATCCTGTGTTTATCTGTCCCCCTAACTCAGTCTGGACCCTTCACTTAGGACTTGATAACAGCCAGAAATTAAAGACTCAAAACAACGCTATAGGAAATGAGAGAGACAATCCTTGACACCCAGGAACCACAATCTGTTAATTTTTAATACATTTAAAAATATTATCTAAAATAATTTAAATAAATTAGTAGTGAGAAAGTCTTCTGAGTAAACTTCTGTGCCATAGAAGAAAGAAGGACATAGAAGGGTTTTCCCAGAGTGCTTACATGTCCTTGATATTAAAATCAAAGTAACTGTGACCGTAACATTTGCTTTCCAACCTCCCATCCAAATCCTCTCTCAGCATTAAAGGGAAGATTTGGTATGGCGTAGCTGTGGTGTGCCACACAAACACCCGCTCCAAGACAAAGGCACTCGTTCATGCAACTGCCAAAGGCACATAGCTGAGTCACTCTCTAAGAATGGCGGAGGCCAAGGGGTTATTATCCCTTCTCTGGGTCAGCCCACATGCAGTGACTCATTGATTGGGGTTCCCAAATGCCTAGCCCTCTTGCTTTAACACAGGGGCCATCCTCATAACAGATGCCTAGGATTGGCTGAGGTCTCTGTTGCAAATACATTATGGCTCAGCTTCTTCCAAAAGAAGCTCTGCACATATATCTCTGTTTCATATTGTGTTTCCCAGAAAACCTGACTTAAGAAAGTTGTTATCAAGGGAGCACTGAAGAAGTGACTCTAAAATGAGATCTTTTATCTAAATCCTCTCTGTTGGACTGCCAATGAGGACCCAATCACTGATGCCACGTCAAAAACTGACAGCCTGTAGTATACTGTAACAGAACAATCATTAACACATTCACTTTTAGTGGGGGACCAATGTGTGAATACCAGTGGAAAGGAAAGAACTTGCATGTACTACATTGAGGTATTTGAGAGGTTGGGAGAGGAAGTGATTAGTGTCACTGAATGGAATAGCTACTGAAGCCTCTTAATGCAATGGAGAAAGACATCGAAAGGCTTAAAGTGATGCCACCAATTTAAAACTAAAGGTAACAACAGCAGATATCCATGTCATCAGATAGAGAAATTCTCACCTCTCGCAGCAGATGCAGAAAAAGTTGAGCATCAGACCCAGGAATTGATCACAAGTGTGGCAGAGCTCCAGAGGAGGTTTAATTCTCAATTTAGACAGGTTGGCTGTGCCAAGATTGGGGCCTTAATTGGGGAAAAAAAAATGGGACTGTGAGTTATGTGCTGGGGACATCTGGGTTAATTCACTGGAACTTCAATCCTCATATTTCCCTGAATCCTCTGACAAGAAGTGGCTCTCCCCTGTTAGTAGCTAGTGCTCCACTCTTGCTTGAAAACTTGCAAGAAAATGTGTGCACCCTCTAAGAGCTACCAAAATCATTCCCATGGACCCCCAGACCAATAACTAGGAAAAAGAAACAACACAAGCCAGCTAAACAAAAGAGTACATAGAAGAAAGAAGGACATAGAAGGGTTTTCCCAGAGTGCTTACATGTCCTTGATATTAAAATCAAAGTAACTGTGACCGTAACATTTGCTTTCCAACCTCCCATCCAAATCCTCTCTCAGCATTAAAGGGAAGATTTGGTATGGCGTAGCTGTGGTGTGCCACACAAACACCCGCTCCAAGACAAAGGCACTCATTCATGCAACTGCCAAAGGCACATAGCTGAGTCACTCTCTAAGAATGGCGGAGGCCAAGGGGTTATTATCCCTTCTCTGGGTCAGCCCACATGCAGTGACTCATTGATTGGGGTTCCCAAATGCCTAGCCCTCTTGCTTTAACACAGGGGCCATCCTCATAACAGATGCCTAGGATTGGCTGAGGTCTCTGTTGCAAATACATTATGGCTCAGCTTCTTCCAAAAGAAGCTCTGCACATATATCTCTGTTTCATATTGTGTTTCCCAGAAAACCTGACTTAAGAAAGTTGTTATCAAGGGAGCACTGAAGAAGTGACTCTAAAATGAGATCTTTTATCTAAATCCTCTCTGTTGGACTGCCAATGAGGACCCAATCACTGATGCCACGTCAAAAACTGACAGCCTGTAGTATACTGTAACAGAACAATCATTAACACATTCACTTTTAGTGGGGGACCAATGTGTGAATACCAGTGGAAGGGAAAGAACTTGCATGTACTACATTGAGGTATTTGAGAGGTTGGGAGAGGAAGTGATTAGTGTCACTGAATGGAATAGCTACTGAAGCCTCTTAATGCAATGGAGAAAGACATCGAAAGGCTTAAAGTGATGCCACCAATTTAAAACTAAAGGTAACAACAGCAGATATCCATGTCATCAGATAGAGAAATTCTCACCTCTCGCAGCAGATGCAGAAAAAGTTGAGCATCAGACCCAGGAATTGATCACAAGTGTGGCAGAGCTCCAGAGAAGGTTTAATTCTCAATTTAGACAGGTTGGCTGTGCCAAGATTGGGGCCTTAATTGGGGAAAAAAAAATGGGACTGTGACTTATGTGCTGGGGACATCTGGGTTAATTCACTGGAAACTTCAATCCTCATATTTCCCTGAATCCTCTGACAAGAAGTGGCTCTCCCCTGTTAGTAGCTAGTGCTCCACTCTTGCTTGAAAACTTGCAAGAAAATGTGTGCACCCTCTAAGAGCTACCAAAATCATTCCCATGGACCCCCAGACCAATAACTAGGAAAAAGAAACAACACAAGCCAGCTAAACAAAAGAGTCTGTAAAGGGAGGGAAAAGACTATGTGTTGAAGGAACTGAAGAACCTCACCAACATACAGCAACCAATAGGATCATATAGGAACTGACAGAGTACTTATGAACTGGATTCTGTGAGTACTAGATCGATGTGGATGTATATAAAGTTAGATAGGAAAGACTTGATTGCTATTGAAGCAGTCTTCCTTAGTGCATGGACAGGTTATCTAATGTGTGGGTATCTCAACATGTGAGTATTCCATGAAAATGGACTGTTGGTACACCATCCCACTCAATATATCACTGAAAGACATCAGAGAGGGAAAAATCTTTCCAATGGGTAGAATTTGGGGTAGGTTACCTGATCATTCACTTTGGGTGCAAAGAGAAGTGGCCCATGGTAAAAATATACGTGGACTCATGAGCAGTGGTGAACCACTTGCCTAATTTCTCAGGAGCCTGCAAGAAGAAAAATTAGAACATCAGGGTCAAAGAGACTATAGAGGAGAAATGTGGATGGTTTGAAAGAAAGAGTTCAAAGTGTGAAATAGTGTGTGTTGCATGTAAAGGTCCACCAGATAGTATGCACCATGGAAGTAGCAATGAGTAGCCAAGCAAACAATCATGATCAGTTGAGGCTGAAAGATAAATTATGCATGAATTCAACAGCCTGGGGTCCTACTGATCAAGGCTAAGCGGGTACTGCTGCTGCTGAATGCCCAGCACACCAGCAACAGTGATCAATGCTGAGCACCTAACAACAACAACATCTTTCAAGATCGACTAGCCACTTGGTAGCAATTGATTACACTGAACCTCTACTCTGGAAAGGGCACTGCTTCAGTTTAACTGGAATCAACACACCTGTAGATATAAATGTGCCTTTTGCATACACATAATTTCATCTTAGACCAAGGGTATTACCTTACAGTAGTGTTTGTGCAGCAGCAGGGTCCTCACCAAGGGCTCCGTTGTTCCATGACACACCACATCCAAACCCAGAAACTTCCAGATTAATAATTTTAATAATAAGAGCCTTTGAAAACACATGTGAAATGCCGACTTAGAAATGATACCCTGATGGGATGGGATGCCGTACTGCAGAATGCAGTATACATTCTACATCCATGGCCATCACATGGTATTGCATCCCCAGTAGATAGAACACAGTGGTCTGGAAACCAAGGAGCATCCCTGCTTATTACCTCTCTCAATGTGCCAGATGGAACATCTGTACTTTGCAACCCCACAACTTAGTTTTTCCTGCTTATAGAGTATCTGACTCCCAGAGGGGCACTGCTACTATTGAGACACAGTGAAGAACTAAGAATCCTTAAGGTATGGTTTCCATTCCATCTCTTAAACCTATGGCAGGAAGAATTGACTCTGATCATTAGGAGAATGTAGGGCTGAAATTACACTATGTAAATAAGGAGGAACACATCTGGCACCCATAAGCAACTGAGGAAAATCTTCACAATTACCTGCCAGACTTGATGGTGAATGGATAAGAATGGCAAAATGACTGAGATCTCATGTTACTCAGGGATGTAATCTGGATCACCACAGGAGGTAAGCCAGCTAGACCAGGAGAAGTGCTAGCCATCAGGCAGGAGACATATCAAATGCTATATATAGGAGGAAGTTGATATGTTGTGGTCTTGAGAGCAGTTGCAATCACAAGGGCTCCAGCTCATTCCAATAACTTTCTTCATGTAAGTTTGCCCCAGGAAAAGAGATCAGTAAGCTATCCCAGATGGTGAACTTGACAAATGAAGCAAGAGTGTTTGAGCGGCACACAGCGCAGACCATAATGGATGTCAGAGTGTGAGGACTTCAGGATCAAGGAACAAATCCAGAGTCAAGCCTTGGAATGGCCCTTAGTTCCTGGACTGACCCAGACATCAGTTCACAGATTTCCACATTGTCCTAGAATATGCCCTAGTTTTGATCTTCAGGTTAAGTGACTCCAGGTCTACAAAATATATTATCTTTATTGTCACAATATGATATCATATGTAGCACAGACAGGTAACAGGTAGCAAATATCAATAACAGTATTGCAGTTGCCATTTTGTATTTGCTTGCTCTGTTCTA